TTTTTTTCTTTTGATCACCATGTAGCCTCGTTATGGTTTCTTGTAGGGATTCGGATTTGCAAGAGGAAGAATTTACTCGATTTCATTCTTCAGTGAAGCGAGGAGATATGTCGGGATTGTTGGGTTCCCAAGGTTTCTTACCTTTTTGTTTTTATATGGAAGATTGTAATACGTTATTCACGAACGTCCTCTCTAATGTCTTACCGACTATAGAATTCTTTTGAAAACCATTTGCTTTGTTTCTTCAGTCAAATTATTTTTGTGATATAAAACCTGCCCTCATAGTACTCAACGTGTAGGTAAAACTATGCGGGGGGAGTTGAGCATTTTCCCGAAATCGTTTATCGTCCTTTCTCACTGTCTCCACATGATGCCCCGTCAGAAGATTGGTCCAGGCTCAGACAATGCTAAGGCGAGCTCTTATTTTCAATTCCGACATATTGATACTGTTTCTGTTTTCATTATTGACATTTCAGTTCTCTGGACAGATAACTGATGCGTGGGTCCCGGGAAGTAGCAGAAATCCCGAGGCTTATATACTGAAGGATCAGGTATGGTTGGTTGTCTCTGTGGACCCGTTGCGCTTAAAGCTTAGTAAGCTGTCTAACTTTAAAAACTCTTACCTAACCGTATCTGCGATATTTTCATACAGGAAACACGTTATAGGCAGCGTTATTTGGATTTGATGCTGAATATGGAGATTCGGGAAATATTCAAGACCAGGGCAAAAGTTATTTCTTACATCAGAAGCTTTCTTGATAATCGAGGTAAATGACTTCAGTGTAGTCCAAAACGAGTTTCTATCACTTATTTTCAACTTTTTCGTTTTGTCCGATTTTTCAATTTTTTCTTTAAAGGTTGAAACTCCCATGATGAACATGATTGCTGGAGGAGCCGCCGCGCGTCCATTCGTTACCCACCACAATGACCTCAACATGCGGCTCTTCATGCGAATTGCACCCGAACTTTATCTCAAGGAATTAGTTGTTGGCGGATTAGACCGTGTATACGAAATCGGGAAACAGTTTAGGAATGAAGGAATTGATTTAACGCACAATCCCGAGTTCACTACTTGCGAGTTCTACATGGCCTTTGCCGATTACAATGACCTGATGAAGCTAACTGAAGATATGCTCAGTGGTACGTGGCAAACTCCGATTTATAACTAAGCCAAATTTTGTCGTAGCACAATTTAAAAAAAAAAACAAATTCTGTTAGGGATGGTCAAGGAACTTACGGGTGGGTATAAAATCAAATACCATGCCAACGGATTGGACAATGAACCGATTGAGATTGATTTTACACCTCCTTTCAGGTATGTGGATTCGTGCATTACAGTAGAATCTCGATAAATTAATACTTGATAAATTAACAAGCTCAATTAAATAATAGTTACCGCTCCTGTCTCGGTGAAAAAGTGTTAAATTATTAACTCGATAATTTATTAATTCGCTAAATTAATAGAATTTCCCTGGTCCCGACTGTATTAATTTATAGAGGTTTAACTGTATTTATTATCTGCATGGTATTTGTCTAATAAACGAGAATGGTGTAAGAATTGACATCTCTAATTTTACCTGTGCAGACGCATTGATATGATCGATGAGTTGGAGAAGATGGCAAATTTGAGCATACCAAATGACCTCTCGAGTGAGGAAGCTAATAAATATTTGGTGGATGCGTGTTCGAAATTCGAGATTAGATGCCCCCCTCCTCAAACAACTACGAGACTGCTAGACAAGGTGCGCTGCTCGTTTTATCGTTTATTTCTCAGTATGTGAATATAGGTTCGATTCTTACACTTGTGACTTTTTATTTTTGCTGTCGGTACAGCTTGTTGGACACTTTCTCGAAGAGACATGTACCAACCCTACCTTCATTATCAACCATCCAGAAATCATGAGTCCACTCGCAAAGTGGCATAGGTCCAAACCAGGCCTAACTGAACGATTTGAGCTGTTCATCAACAAGCACGAAGTACGTATTTCCATGATTTATTTCATAAATCGGTTTTTTTTTTTTTTTTTTTTATTTATTTATTACTATAATGCTTCTTATTTATTTCTTACTTGGCAGCTATGCAATGCATATACGGAGTTGAACGACCCCGTTGTGCAACGCCAGCGTTTCGCCGACCAACTCAAGGTACTTTGTAGTGAAGAAAAGTGTCTCCATAAATTTTGTCTTAAGTTGCAATCATGATTCTTAAATCTATAATTACTATGTGATAATAATGCTTGATGATATTTTTACGGTGAATGAAAATAGGACCGGCAATCGGGTGATGATGAAGCTATGGCTTTGGATGAAACGTTCTGCACCGCTCTTGAATATGGTTTACCTCCAACTGGTGGTTGGGGATTGGGAATCGACAGATTTACAATGCTGTTAACCGATTCACAGAATATAAAGGTCAGTCTCGATAAAATAAATTAGATTTCACTCATATTAAATTCCAATAAAATTTATATATATTTTCTTGGTTTTTTTTTTTTTTTGTGTACAGGAAGTTTTGCTTTTTCCGGCAATGAAACCCCAAGATGAACCTTCAAACAAGAAAACTCAGGAGGAAGCTCTCTCTCAAGGTATGCTTTCGTTATTATGTTTCGACTATTTTTTTTTGTTTGTTTCTGAAATCCCATCTGTCACGCTTGTATATTTCGAATGGAGCATTCGGTTATTCATTTAGTTAACAATATTATTGCAGGGCTTGAGAAGAAGGCGTCGTCTTGAGAATTCAGAAGGCGGTGAATAGTGAGGACAATTTTTTTTTATTTTATTATTATTATTTTTTTGTTTTGGCAAAAGAAACTGCTATATTAGAATTTCATTTCATGTACTTTTCTTGAACAATCATGACTTAGAATGGATTTGCATTAGATGTTGCAAATTTACACTACATGGATTTGAACCGTAGATTTGATTATGTGTAGATCAACTGGTAAAATCCACGCAGTGTAAATAACCAGATGTATAGCATCTAATTTCCCCGGAAAGTTGATACCTTCTCTAGAAATATGCTCACTTGTGCTTTTGAATATTCAACAAGTTCTGAATTTCCCACCACACAAAACAAACATTGAAATTTTATACATTCTACAATACAAATCAAAGCATAAAGAGCTATATAGATTCCGACGTTGAAAAGCTCGGTGCAAATCTCTGAGGCGACGAAATATAAGATTTAGGTGGCACTTGCAAAACTTCAAGATTCCCTTCCAACATTTCTAGAACCTTCTTCATCGACGGTCGGTCCTTCGGATCAGTTTGTACGCACCATAATCCAACAATTATCAACTTCTTCATACTAAATTGCCCTTCATCTTCATCTTCAATATTGCCACGACCATTTTCCGCCTCTAATTCAAGTTGTCTGTAAATATATTGCGGGAAGTACACTTCACTCGAGCGATCAACTTCTTTAGGGTCAATATTTTTCGTCGCACCGGCTATTTCCAAAATCACCATTCCGTAGCTGTAGACATCGGATTTGTGAGACACTTCTCCAAAGTTTCTAGAAAATACTTCCGGAGCAATGTAGCCTATTGTCCCTCTCGCCACTAACATGGACACTATACTCGATCTGTTAGGGCACAATTTAGCAAGACCGAAATCCGAAATCTTCGGATTGAAGTCCATATCCAGAAGAATGTTGTGAGGCTTTATATCAAAGTGCAAAATACGCATGTTGCAGCCTTGGTGCAAATATTCTAGCCCACGAGCAATGCCGAGTGCAATTTGAAACAATTTTTCGCTTCCCAATACAACTCCTACCGATGAGGAAGTCTTATTTTGAATGAATTTTTCTAGAGAGCCGTTAGGCATGAATTCGTAAATGAGAGCTCTCTTAGAACCCTCGAAGCAGAATCCGAGAAGTGTGACGACATTAATGTGGGAAGTTCTACTAATACTTGCAACCTCATTCATAAATTCGTCTCCATTCCCTTTTGATTCATTCAGCATTTTCACCGCTACAAGACGACCATCATCGGATACTTTTCCTTTGTAAACACTACCATAGCCTCCTTTCCCTAAGCTTTCACTGAACGACTTGGTCATTTTCTTAATGTCCGAGTATTTGTATCTTTTTGGTGCAAGATTCCCGTTGTTCTTCAAGAATAGTTCAATGTCCTTTTCATTAAAACCTTTAAGATGTACGCGTTTCCTCCGAACGAAAAAGAATAGAATTATGGAAGTGAATATAAGAGAAGCCATAGCCAGGCCACCTGTAATAATAAGAAATCTCGTGGTATAAAAGAATATAAATAAGAGGAGTTATTATATTATTTGAGAAAAAATCATTCATTGGAAACAATTGATCGAAACATACCTATGAGAAAAATCTTACTTAACGGTCCCTTTTCTGCAAACGAAACGAGCATTAATTAGCATATCATATACAGATCAAAATGAATTGATGCAGAGCAAGATGAAATAGGAACAATGAAAATAAATCGTCGGGCCGAGAATTGTAACCGAATTTAACACGAGAGAACATATATAGAAAAAAACATGCAAGACTATAATGAATTTGAAGAAGTTGTGATGTAGTCGAAAGATCAGAAGAAATAAAGATCGTTTATCGGAGAATTAAAGTTCCGGGCGAACATACCAGGTTTGCAGCTCCTAGAATGAGGCATGTCCGGACAAAAGCACCGAAAATGGAAAGTGGATGAATTAAACCCGCAATGGCCGCCGCTATCTTCGCACGTAGTGCAGTCACTGGCAATCCAGTTCATCAAAAAACCCTTCCTCAAAATCTCCGTAATATTCACCATTTTTCCATTATTATTAATATTATTTCCAATGATCCCAAATGATTCCACAGGTGCAATAACGTTTTCTCCGCACTCTTCCATAGCAATACTCCTCTGATTCTCCTCATCTGTATCGTTATTATTCAGAGCGAGCTCCCATATTTTCTCGTCCTCGGAACCTTCACAGTCGACAACGAACCTCGACAGTTCGCCACGCATCGGTTCGCTGCAGTTAGAGAACAAACGGAGTGCTGACGTGGAGCTGACGTAGCCGAATTGGGATGGAGGAAGAGTCGTGTTTCTGATTTTCGGAAGACAACTACTACCACCAGATCTCGAAACAGCTGCATTATACACATGTAGAGATCGGTTCCGGTAGAAGATGTCTTCGACCACGTATTCATTTTCCGACAACTCAAGAACAGGAAACCCACTTTCCGAACAGTTGAGCGCAAATCCCGGGTACCCGCAGTAGGGTTCCTGTCGGCCCGGAATATAAAACGGGAAGCTTATATTCGGGCCGCCGGAGCTGCAATTTGTCGGCAAGCATGCTTCGTATTGAAAATGAGCGGCGCGGGATCTTTTGGATAAGAGTATAACGCAGAATAAACAGAGGTATAGAGATATCAAGAAAGAGCACAGATTATGATCTTTGTCCATCTGTAGATCTTGAATAAGTTGGAATAAATATATGAAGAAACAACTATATGAAGATTGGGCATTGATTTCATGAGTGAAGTGATCAAGAGGGTTTGGATAATGCCTTTGAATGATTTCTTTGATCGAAAGTTGACTCGACACAAAGACTTCGAAAACTAATCAACACAAAATTGACTAGAAACCGACGGAGTTGACAGCAAAAAATGTTTATGATTTTAATTTGGTTTAATTCCAGCTTGCAACCAGGGCCGTTCTTGAGATTTAGGGTGACCTAGTGGAGATTTGAAGATGGTTGAAAAATGAGGTCCTTCTACAATCTATGTTAAAACTATTTTTTTTTTCTTCTTAAAAGATGTTAAATTCTATGTTAACTCGTTTTTGTAAGGTAATATAGCTAGAGGCAGGGCTATAAATTTTTGATATAGTGATGTTAAAGTTTTCAGGGGCTCGGGGGCAGTGCCCCCGATTTTTTTAAGGATAACTTTCATTTAGTAGTACTAAAACAAGTGTAAATATATAAAAATAAATAGCTAATGCACTATAAATTTAATAATTGGGGGCCCTATGATTAGAGGAATTATAGAAACAACCTAAAAGTCGTTGATCAATATCTATTTATGAATTAGAGTTCTCAATACTTATATATATAATATATAATTTGTTTTGAATAAATACTAATATATAAAGGGTATAAAAAATTGGGGGGCCTTTATAAAAATCCAGAGGCCCTGGGCGACCACCTACTTCCTCTCCCCTTAGAACCGACCCCGTTTGCACCCTCAAAATATAGTATTTTACACCCTGAAAAAACCCCATGTTTTTATTTTTTTCTTGCTTAAAATATCTATTTATGTTAATAGTTAACAAACACCCTTAGCTCTAGAGGGCATTTTATGCAAGTTTTTTGTAATATAAGAGGATTTGGTACATGATTTTGCAACACAAGAGGGATTTATGCAAAATTAATACATTCATTTTAATATAAAACTATTTTCTTAAATTAAGTCGAATAAATTATTTTTTTGCATAAAATCCCATTGTATAGAAAACATCAAGGTTGTAAATAAACGGAAATCAGGTAGGAGGCGGTTAAGTACCGCCTCACGATTAATTGGAACGGTGCCCAGGTCCCCTCCAGAGGTTCACGCGGCGGTGATTAATCGGCGATAACTCGAAAACAAATCGATTTTTAAAATTTAATATAATATACTTTTAGATATTATTTATGAATACTCAAAACATATATATAAATATATTTGCATAGTTATATCTCCATCATTTATATATCCTAATAACATAATAAAATGTTAATAATAATAAGATCATAATACAATAAAAATCCTTATAACATACAAATAAAATGAATTTTTTTTTAATTTAAATTTATTATTGAACATTGCAAGCATATATCATTAGGTCCTTTAACAATAACAAGTAACATAAACAAAATAGATCATAACTCTTTTTTTTTTTTTAACCGAAAGCCCAACTTTTGTTTTGAATTAAAAAAAAAAATTGATTTTTGACCGATTTTTGCCACAAAGTTTGACCCGTCTTCAAGGTTTGACCGCATAAGACCGCCTCAACCTGACTCGGACCGCCTAAAACCGCCTCACATGCAAGAACCCGATTTTTCAAAACTTCACACCAAAATTGTAAAGATTTGGGACCGCCTCCGCCTGGGATATCGATTAATCGGCCGGCTCGGCCGATTTTTAGAATATTGGAAAATATACACAAAATCTCACTCTATTACGAAAAACTTGCATAAAACCCCCTGTATAGTTAACGGTGTTAACTATTAACGGAAATGAGGATTTTATACAAGAAGAAATAAAACACAAGGGAATTTTACACAATAAAAAGAATAAAGGAGAGTTTGGCGCAAATTTTCCTTAACACGGGAGAATTTTACATTGTTTATCCCATAATTTAGAATCTTCTATTAATGACTAATAATTTAGTATAATAAGTTGAAAAATGAATTTGCATTGAAACTTCATACACTAAAACTATACAAATCAAAGCAGAGAAAGCTAGCTACATCGATTGATCGGAGATTGAAAAAATCGGTGCACGTGGGGGCGAAGAAAGATAAGGTTTAGGTGGTACTTGCAAGTTTTCAAGCTTCCCTTCCAACATTTCTAGAACCTTCTTCATCGACGGCCGGTCTTTGGGGTCAATTTGTATGCACCATAATCCCACGATTATAAGTTTTCTCTTCGTAATTACCTCGCTTTCATCTTCGTTATTCGCAATAATCCCATCAAGATCAGCATCAATTAGTTCTAGCTCCTTGTAGATATATTGCGGGAAGTATACTTCACTACTCGTGTCATCGGCATTAATAACATCTTTAGACGGACCATTCTTTTTCGTCGCTCCCACAATTTCCAAAATCATCATTCCGTAGCTGTAGACATCGGATTTGTGAGACACTTCTCCAAAGTTTCTAGAAAACACTTCTGGAGCAATATACCCTATCGTCCCTCGTGCCACTAACATGGAAACTATACTCAATCTGTTAGGGCATAATTTAGCAAGCCCGAAATCGGATATCTTCGGATTGAAGTCCTTATCCAGAAGAATGTTGTGAGGCTTTATATCAAAGTGCAAAATCCGCGTGTTGCACCCTTCATGCAAGTATTCAAGCCCTCGAGCAATGCCAAGTGCAATTTGAAACAATTTTTCCCATCCCAATATTATTACATCTTCTTTTGATGATGACGAAGCACTATGTTGGATGAATTTTTCAAGAGAGCCATTAGGCATGAATTCGTAAATGAGAGCTCTTTTCGAACCCTCGAAGCAGAATCCGAGAAGAGTGACGATATTAACGTGGGAAGTTCTGCTAATACTTGCAACCTCATTCATAAATTCGTCTCCATTCCCTTTTGATTCGTCCAACATTTTCACCGCTACAAGACGACCATCATATAATTTTCCTTTGTAAACACTGCCATAGCCTCCTTTCCCCAAGCTTTCACCGAACGACTTGGTGAATTTTTTAACGTCCGAGTATCTGTATCTTTTTGGTGCAAGATTCCCGTTGTTCTTCAGGAAGAGTTCAATGTCCTTTTCATCCGCTAATTTACCCTTTCGAAATCTTTGCAACTGAAGTAGTATATACCTCCTTCGGACGAAAATGAATAAGATTATGGAAATGGATGTGAGGGAAGCCATAGCCACACCACCTGTAGATCAGAGTGTGGATTATGTAAGTACTGAACTTGATTAGATTATTTAATGAATTAGTTTTAATAGATCAAACTATTGAAGAATTGAAATATTCAAAGGAATAAGACTTGAAATAAATTAGTACGTGGCACATACCTATTTTGAGAAGATCAATTCTCCTTTTGCTTTCTACAAAACAAAACGAAAGGAGCTAGGATTTTATATATGCGGTGGCCAAGTAATGCACTAAAAATTCGAAATTTTTATATTGGCCGTGTTGGACTTCACTAATTAAGAGATTGCATAAAGCAAATAACAGTATCCGATATTATTTATCAAGAAGGTTAAAGTTATGCAAAATATAACAGGAATAAGAAAAAAAAAAAAAAAAAATGAAAGAGTGATCACAAAGAGAAGGATTGTTGGACTTTTGATTGAAGCTCATAAGTCACCGATATAATACTCGAAAAATAATAAATATTTATATAAAGTATTAGGTTACAATTAATTACTCTAAGGGCTCGTTCGGTTACCTATATTGGATTAGATGAGATTGGATTAACTCCTTACTGGCTAATTAATTATTTAGTTAGTAGCATGTTCGGTTTCTTAGATTAGATCTTCTATTAAATTTGTTAAATTCGGTCATTATATATGAATTGTCTATAAAACCACTTAGTTTAAAATAATAAGATATGATTTTAAGGATAAATTGAGTTTTCTTTTTTGATCACCCCCTATTAAATTAATCTCTAGGGAAGGGGTGCTACTAATTTAATGCAGTAGTAGTATTTAATAGCCGTCTTTGATTTTAGTAGCGGGTTTGAAAAAGTGTGAATCTTGTCAACCGTACGTATTATTAGCCCCTACTATTTAGTCGGTAGAACCTTATATCACTAACTGAACCAGCCCTAAAGAAACTCCCCGTAAATATATAGACTATATAAAATGTTTTAATGACATAAATGAAAATAATGTTACCGCTTTTGCATTCGAATTCACCGATGTTGTTTGTAAGACACTGCCCACCTCCTCGGTGGCATTCACTACAATTTTCCGAAACATTCCACTCTAGAATATACTCACTCGTTAACAAACCGAACACGTTTTCCAGCGAAGATTGATCATAATTCGGCTTTACGGGTAGTTGAATCACTTGACAATCCGAAGGCACAGGGGAAACTTCTGCCGTCGGAAAACCATAGTAAACAATGAACAAGGTACAATCATAACTACGATGGTTTTCGGGGAAAATTTCTCCGTCATGGATGTAGTTTGGGTTGACGCACGCGAACATGGTGAGATTGGACGACACAGAAAACGAGATGGAAGGAGATTTAGGTAGGCTCACATTTCTGAATGCAAAACAGCTCATGTTATCCAACTGCACCTGAAGCGTATGATCCTTAATTAAGAAACTATTTGTCGATATGTTGCGCGAAATATTAAACACTTGACCGCCAGGTTCTAGCTGGACCGTTGGATTATCGGAATCGCAGTCATCAACGGTGAATAATCCGCATCCTGTAGAATTCGAGAGTGGGAATTGGAGAGAACCAAGCGATCCACATTCGAATGATTTTGGGCAGTTTGAAACAGCTGAAGTGATAATTGAAGAATGAAATAAAAAGAAGAAAAGGAGAAACTTGATGATCACAAGATTCATATTGTTGTTTAGCTTCTTCTGTACGTATCCATTTTGATTTAGCACTATATAATAACTGGCATGATTATTTCTTCGGTACAGTTAGAGTTGACTGGCTAGAGTTGACTTGACTCACAGACTTTGATGTTTGAAAAGTAATCAAATGAGTAGTTGAGTACCTACAGTTGGAAAATGAATTACACCTCAAGTGTGTGCTTGTAAAAGAAAATTGAAATTAATTCAATTTTCCGTAGGACCAATTCCGCAAAAAAATATTTTGTGTAATATACAATTACGTGAATTTGGTGTAAATTCCATTTTTTCCCTTATACTTTGACTCGATATCACTTTATCCTCTTGTACTATCAATTGCATCAATTTATCTCTTTGTACTTTGGCTCGATATCATTTTACCCCCTTCTACTCTCAATTGCATCAATTTGCCCCCTTGTACTTTGGCTAGATACCGCTTTACACCCTTCTACTCTCAATTGCATTGTTTTTCCCCTATGTACTTGAAAAATTGTCTCAATGTGGACATCGCCGTTAGTTTCAGCCTTTGATCTCAACGCCGTTTGATCGAAGTCTGAAAATTATTAAAAAGTCACCCCTTCCAATTTAAGTAATTATTAAAAAAAAAAAAAAAAAAACTCTGATGTTTATCACCAAGAGTCGGGTCGAAGAAGTCACCAGCGCACATATACGATTGACTGCGAATTCCTAAAAGAAATCCATAATGTACTACTGCTCAAATAAAACTCTGAAGATGTTATGCGTATTAATTTTAATTGGGGTTGTAAATTAACTAGACTATCCGGTACTAAATTCAAAATCGATTATTAAAAACTCCTTTACATTCGGGTTCGTTGACATAACTAATCAAACTTGAACGCATATTTTTGTTTAATAATAATTTATGAAATTTGACTAGAGCGCGATAACATTTTTATTAATAAAAATGTATAAAAAGTATCAAACAATCGGAATTTGATTTGTATCAGAGTACATAAAATCTCGTTCGAGCTCTACTCAAAATGTTTGTCAAACATAATATATTTGCCCAAGCTATGGCGCTGCGCAGAGCTTGCCC